TCACTTAGCCGTACAGAACCATAATGCTGAGCTGTCGCTTACACTGAGTCAGCGTCCACGTGTCGCCGTTTTATAGATCGGGCCAAATCATCCTTCATCCGATAGCTTCACTTAGAACTATCTATGCTCTGCAATTCTATGTCGCCCTTGGTTACCTGTTTAGTTCCAAAGTTCATGTCATAGTGAAACCGGAAAGCATATGTTTCTATTGGTTTTTTTCTTGCACTGAAATGGTTACATATAATTGCAGACTTTCTCGAGCACTGTTGAAGAGAAGGCTAAATGGATTTTCAACAAGCTAAAAGGTGTGGATCTTATTTTATATAAATGTATCTTTTCTTGGTTCAAGGAAATGTAAGTCTGATGAGACAACAATTCCTCTCTAGAAGCCCCAAAACTGATTTCTCATAAATATATTGCTTACCTATGTTCTTTTATGTTATTCTATCAATTGTTCTCTCTTGGGGTTATAAAGTTTTATGTTTTGGGAGAAAGGGGCTTGTTTGCTCGTATGGGGGCCTAAATTGATCCATGTAAGATGTGGGGATTTTGTCTTATTGGAGATCCCAAGATATTTTCAAGCACAAAAGCAAGAGAGGTTCATTTGGTAGGTTTTGTCATCTTACCTGTGATGGTCAAGCACAGAACTTTCATGCCAATGTTGTTTGTTCATAACTTATGGAGCTGAGTTATTTTACTCCTTCAGCAGCCTTCATCCAATTTCGCATTGCTTGGCAAGAAAACTAAGATTGCAGATGAAGCACACAATGGATGAGCTGACGCAAGTCACTCTTCCATTCCTCTTTAAGATGTCTCCACTTTTTTGGACAATTATCTGAAGGAAAGTGTAATCCTAGCTTCTCTTAGATTTGGACATGTGGCCATATATTGAGTTTTGCTATCTATTGAGGAAAAAAATAGAAACTTATTATTTTATGTGATTTTAAGCTTTTCTTTTTTAGGATATAAGTCTGAGGTTTTGGGATGCGCTGTTGCCAGATTGTGGCTATTGAATTCCATGTATTTTCCCTTAATTATTGGACAAAGAAATCTCATTCTTGCTGCCCCAATTGTTGAGAAATACTTTCTTGAGATTGGAAAAATTCTTTATGGAATATATCTCAATGATGAGCAGGACAATGGAAGGGTTAACTGATCATACTTTTAAATTGTGTGGTAATTAGATGGATTGGATTCATTTTCTGAATCTATTATAATTCCTTAGGCTCTCTATGAGAAGTGATAGCAGTTCAGGTGGCAGCCCGAATGCTTCTATGTATTTCTCTAAATTGATCAGCTCTCGTTTTAGGATTTGAACAAGGAACTCTTCTGTTAATTTAACTCTCTGGTCTGGAAGTGCTGTAGGATTCCCATCTATATGTCAACCAATTGTCTACTATTTTTCTGGTCTAGTCACAGCCACTTGGACCAATCTGAGTGTTTTAACCAACAGTTGTTTCTACATTATTAGCTATTAGATGTCCTTTGCGCATGACTGTGCATGAATTTTGTGATGTTCATCATTTCATTTATGATAAAAACATGTTTGTCAATGTGTGTGCACACAGACAAACTTTTGTGGACCCAATATAATGGAAGCTTATATATCTGGTGTTTTTCTTCTCTCTCTCTCTTTCTCTACAGGCAAGCCACTGAAATCCCTGCCAGATCTTCTACTAGAGTACAATCTACCACCAGGCCTCTTTCCTCGGAACATAATATGCTATGAATTTGAGGAATCAAAGGCCAAGCTGATTGTGTACTTGCCCTCTGTTTGTGAAGTTAGCTTCAAGGATTCTTCTGTAGTGCGGTATGCACTCGAGTTAAAGGGACACTGATGAGAGGAAAGCTCACAGGGATAGAAGGAATGAAAACAAAGGCCCTGGTATGGATTAAAGTGACGAGTGTAGCTGTCGAAAGCTACAAATCCGACAAGGTTTGGTTTACCGCTGGTGTGAAGAAGTCCAGGCCAAAGGATGCATATGAAATTGTGCTTGATTCCGTTAAAGTAGAGGAATTTTGAGATTAGAATTCAAACATCTTTTTTGCCAAAATTATTATCCTCATTATAGCTCCCATTTGCTAGTGCTTTTCACATTCACATGATGCACTGATTTCTTCTTCTCTCTCTCTCTCTTGGGGGTGGGGTGGGGCGGGGGGGGGTTCTCCTTTTTCTTCTGATAAGTAAGATTACATTGACACTGCATGGCCCATCTTAGCTTGGCTAAATAGCCTTCTGTGACATGGAAAAGAAGGAATGGTTTCAGATTTGTGGGCTTTTAGTAGGAACAAGCAGTAGGCTCTAAGCTAAGGTGGACAGAAAGACCATGTGGATGATCTAGATTTTCGACCTCAAAGCAATTTGCTTTGCAGAAAAACCTGCACTGCCGGCTTAAGTTGCTCTGGCACTATAGCATAGAGCAGTGAAAGCATGGCAGAACTGTCGATGATATAGAGGGCACCCCAAAATCTCAACAAGTGTCGGTTTTGTTTTCCCACAAAAGGGTTCAGAGTCGAGAGGCAACATATTTATTCTTGCATTGCTTTCTAGTATAAAAGTTAATGCAGTGCCAATCTCGACCGATTTCATGTCGCAGAGTTGATTTTGCGGGTCCATTTCCATTGGTGTCCTGTATTTTAGTTTGTATCAACCATGTTCGGTAAAGTCAGTCCCCGCCCTCAAAAAAACGAACTGAGGGTCCGTTTGATTCACAGTCGGAATCAAAATTCATTGGAATGGGCATCAGAATGATCTTTCCTCCCACCTGTTTGGTTCATATGGGAATTGGAATCAGCTGAAATGGATTTTCATTCCCAAGAGAGGGGAAAGGAATGGCCATTCTCTCCAATGGGGGAATGCCATTTTACCAGGAATGGGATTCAGATTTCCCCCAATCCAATTCCAGACCCTTATTCTGCAAACGAAACCTGACCCTGAATGATTTGTGCCAATTAAACATCAATTGTATGTTATTTCTAATTCTGTCCTTTTCCAATCCCTGGCCCTGATAATTTTGATTAGGTAATTGGAATCCATCTTCCCTTGGGGGTTGTCAATGATTTGTTCGTGTAATAATGAACACCGGGGAGTGATCAAAGGAAATCACGCTAATTTGGACAATCTTTGCTTTTTCTTTTTCTTTACTGGCTTTGAGGTAACAAAGGGTTGTTTTTAAAGTTGTGATCCTTTTTCAGAGGTTGAAGCTCAGTGTGATTAAGAATCAAGCAAAGTGCCTGTGCCTGCTCTTACAGTCTGTACAGCCATAGTCCCCATTCATATTTCTTCTTGAGCTTTTTTGGGTGCTTGGAAGCAGTTATCGCCAGTGGGTTATGATGAGCCCACATGCCCACAACTTTGCTCAGCACTATATCTCTTCAAAAAGATAATCATTCAAATGGGCAAATCCCTAATCCCTAATCAACGATTATAAATGAAGTGATTGATTTCCATTATAAGCTGTAATTAGCTATGAAAAAGATATGAATTCTCAAATGAAAAACTACCAGCAAGATATAGAAATAGTTTTTTGAGTGATTTTGAACTTTTGAATGTGATATAAGTTCCTGAGTGATTTTCAGCCTTTCACACGCTGGATTCCATTTAGACCATGATTTCCAGCCGTGACCCAACTCTAATAAGTAATAGGAGGACCAACAGAAATCCAACGAGTGTACAGGGTCGACTTGGTGCTGCATTAAATGAAAATTTGACAGCAGTAACTCATTCTTCTTGGCCAAAGAATCCAACGTCGTTTACTTGTTCGGTTAGGCTTTAGCTGTCGGCACTCAAACTAGTTAACTATCCTTTATTTTGTCTTATCTTTTAAATTTATGTCAATTAATTATAAATTTCCAAGTTTCTTAATTCCATTCATGTCAAAACGGTTTAGCGGTGGCTCTGATGAACAAATGGAAAGAAGAAGAAGATGAATAATATTTTTGCCCTTTATTCATGTCACTATTTTTAAAATTAGATCAGACGAGACGGTTGGATTGAAAAAACCGAGAACTGATCACCTGTCAGTTCCGTTTTCCTCCAAAACTGCTTTTTCCTTTAAAACTGTTGATTTTGGTCAACAAACCGCTGAACTGACCAGTTAACCGTTCAAACCGTTTTGATCGTTTTTCAATTTTTTATTTTTTTATCAGAACGACCTTTCAGACCGTTCGAACCAGTAATCAGACCCTGACTGATTCGGTAATCAATTCGTTTTTAAAAACCACAATTCATATTATTTTAAAAAATTTAACTTATTTTTGAAAGTTTTTTTAAATATATTACTTTTATTGATATTAAACCCAAAAAATTGCGCTTATATGCTAGAAACCCTTTTATTTTTGATAGTGGAGACAATAACCGAGAGACTGATTCAAATGAAAGGTGATTGCTTATCGATGATTACACACATGCAACGTTCTAAGTCACCACTAGCGTGAATAGAGGCATATGTTGAGCCATACAAAGACTATTGCTGATTCGCATTGCATATTGTCTTTTTCCCATATTAAAAGAAACATCAATGTGCTAGCTCGTAAGGTTACTGCTTGGTGTTTGGGGACTAAAACTTATGGAGTTTGGGAAGAGCATCCTTCTCCTTGTATTTGAAGTGATCTAATAGATTAAATTATATTATGCAGAGAAAAAAAAAAGGCTGGAGTGCAAGTTTCATCCTATTTCCCGTTCATATATATATATATATATATATAAAAAAAAGATTTGTTCAGTTTGATAAACCAAAATCTCGGTTTATAAAATCTTTGTGGGTCCCATATTGTCGTGAAAATAAGATTATAGGACAGGGTGTGAGCACCAGTTGGATCTTGGGTGTACGGTTATCCACGTCAGTCACAGCACAGCACTCAACAGTACCGTACGCGTACGCGTAGGCGATCTCCCGCTCTCATTTAACAAAAGGTATTAATTTTTAAAATAAAAAAAAATTGATATTCTCCGTATTTATTAAGGTATACTATCTGGACTCACTTTTCTCATAAATAAATGACCGTGCAACCGGGAGTGGTTGTAAGGGAGTGGCTAGAGAGAGAAGAGAGCGAGAGAAAGAAAGAGAGAAGAGACAGAGAAGAGGGTTCTGGAGCTATGGAGGTATGGAGACGAGAGACTGTGTCGTCGACGCTGCTTCTGGTGCTAACATGCACCATTCTCTTCCTGATGTCGGGAGTCTCCGCCACCAGATTCATCGTCGGAGCAAACATGGGCTGGACTTCCAATGTCAACTACACTGAGTGGGCAAAAGGCAAACATTTCTACCTAGGTGACTGGCTCTGTAAGTGCTCTCTCTCTCTCTCTCTCTCGCTAAGACTGATCTACGTCTTTCGCCATTTAAGCTAAGATCTGCCTTTTTCTTTCGGGCCGCTTCTGCTTGTTCCTCTGCTTCTTTCTCTTCTTTGCTTCAGATCTTTGTACTGATGCTGTTCTCCCCCTAATTTTTAGCTAGAAACTAAGGCATTTCATAATGCCTCACTTGTACTCTTTCTGTTTAAAATAATTGCACTGACGAATAATCTTCCCCATTTTCGGTAAAACCAAGATACCATTTTGGAGTCCTATCGATGCTTGCTTGATTTCTGCTACTAAATCGCTTGGATTGCATTTTGAACCCGTATTTTTTTTTCCGCTTCAGATCTTAAATCTCCTATGTTCCTTCGCATTTTTGTCTCTTTAATTTCTTGAAATTTTATGTAGCTGATGAAAATTTCCTGTGTATTCTTAAATCTTAATTTCTTATATCTTTTTAATTTCTCGTGTACTTTTTGAACTTTTGCTGTTAACATGCTTGAAATAAATTAAGTTAAGCTTCTTGTATTTGGATCGCTAATGTTTCCAGTAATGAAGCTGGTTAAATTTGAACCTTTTTGTCTCGTTTTCTTCAATTCTCGAGGACAACGAAAGACATTTTTACACATATCTGTCAGGAAGTTATCTTCTGAATAACGGGTAGCATTGAGATGAGATACAGCAATACGGGCTGTGAATTCTTCAATCTTTGCTCAGTTTCTCAGATTTCGGTTAATAATGTACTTACATTTCAGTCCATTCACTGGGTTTTCATTTGCCTTTCATTTATGATTCTCTCTTAACAGTGAACTCAGATCTGCCCATTTTTTGCTTTCACCTGGGTCCCTTTTATTTTATTATTTTAATCAGACCACCTCTGAACAGCTCAGATCTTCTGTACCTTGACGGATTTTCCATTTTCTTTTGTCACTGCCTTTTCAGCTGTGTTTTGACGATTGCTAAATACTTCATTAATGACTAGTTCACTACATTTTACTTGATCAATCCTTGTTATTTTCGTTCCATCTCTTCCGTCTTTGGAGTCTTTTCTGGTTTCTGCTCCAAATCAGGTTGCGAACTTGACCGAGGAGTAGACGATGCGTGTTCTTCAACGAAACAGTTACTTTCTAGAACGTATTGGAACTCGGGTCCTCACGGTGTCACCCAGAGCTCTGGTTTTTTAATTCAACCGTCCAAGCTCGATTTTCCCACCCATGAAAATCCGTGCTCGCCAAATAAAAAACCCATGAAAAATCGCTATTTGCTGATTTTCTTTCTGTTTGCCAATGATTTTGATTTGAGTTATTCCGTTATTAATTAACCCAGTTCTGCACTTCCCCTGCTCGCAGTTTTTGTATACGACAGGAACCAGATGAACGTGCTAGAAGTGAACAAGACAAACTACGAGACGTGCAACGAGAACCATCCGATTCACAATTGGACCACCGGCGCAGGGAGGGATGTGGTTCCACTCAATGTCACCAAGACATACTACTTCATCAGTGGCAAAGGATTCTGCTACGGCGGCATGAAAGTCGCCGTCCACGTCGAGAAATTGCCTCCACCGCCAGCATCTTTGCCGGAGAAAAGCAAGAATGGGTCTCCGTCCAATTACGGAAGCCAGATTGTTTTGCCAGCTGTGTTCGCCATTGTTGCACTCTTTTGGGACAACTTCATTGGGTTTTGGTACTAGTAAGACGTAACCAACTGCTCCCACGCTCCCCAGTCCCTAGCTTGAGTTTGTGAAGGAGAGTTTGATTGTAAACGTTTGAATGAAGTTGTTAGAAGGAAGGGAATTTCAAATTTGTACTCTGTAACAGTGATTGCTTTTGAGTTGTTTTCACCTTTTTCTAGTTGAATCAAGGATGATCCGAAGTCCGCGATCCATGGTGGAGTAAAACGCGGTCTTTTGTTGATTGATGTCCCGCAATTTAAAATAGCGATGAATGCGGAGCTGAGCGTCAAGGAGGAAGAAAGCGTCGGTGGATGGGATCATTGAAATGTTTGTTTATTTATTTATTTAGTCATGAAAGGTAAGAATGTAACACAACACAACCAGCTTTAGTCGGAGGCAGGCAGGTGGTGGTTGGAACTTGGAAATGGCATTCTTTCGCGTCGTGTTATTGTTACCATTTATTTATTTATCTTCATCTGAGGCGGCAGTGAGTCATCCATTTCGGTTTACACTTGATATCCATCGGATTAACCGGCTCTGAATTCTGTACTGTGATGCCGACCAGAACCCTAAAAATCGGGTCTGGGTCGGCTGGCCTGGTAGCAGTGGTTGGGCCACCACAATTTTAATGGCGATTCGAAATCGTCATTAATCGAACAAAAAATTCAAAAATCTATAACGACCGGAAAGACATGTTTGGCAGAGATGAGAGTGGGTTATTTTTGGGGATGGAATAAGAAGCAAGGGAATTCACATCTACGACGCGGGAGATATTCTCAATGGACGTTGAGCTGTGCATGTAGGGCGCGTTTGGGGGGCGGGGGGAATTGTGAACTCGGGGTAAGAACAACCCATAAACCCCTGGGCCCTGGCCCCCGGCCCTCTCACTCTGACTCGCCATGTGCATCCTAGTTGGCATTCCCTTTCTTTTGTAACTGTGCAAATGCAATGTATAGATTAGGGGGAAAGCAAAAGCTTTAATTTCTCGTCATTTTTCAAAGATTAGCCACAGCAGATGTTTACATCCCACAGAAGTATAATTGAATTGCATCTTATTATTATTATTATTGGCTTTGAGGCAGTAGATGACGGCAGTGATGCAGTATATGTATCAGTAAGGGTCCCACTTGAGGGGAAGGCATCTAGTTATAGCCATTGGATTGGCAATAAGATGGGACTTCTGCCCGTCCAGACTGTCCAGTCCAATTATCAAAGACAGGACACAGGATTGTGTGATTAGGGGTATCACTTGGACTTAATTTGGTCCAATTGCAGTTCAATGTGAGTCCATTATAAATAGATCAGATCTAATCTAATGAATGTTTTGGACCAAGGACTGGTCCAATTCAATATTTAGACCATCCAATTTTTTTAAATTTATTTTGATTTAGATTGGTTTTAAACTAAATGGTCCATTGATACATATATTCTTATCTTATATCAATAAATTAGATATTGACTTAATTCAACCCAATCCAATATAAATTTGTTATGGATGGACCAGATTTAATCTAATTTAATAAATATTTTGGACTGAATTAATCTAATCCAATATGTCTTATTGATCCATCCAATCCGTTCAAATTAATTTTGGACTGGATGAGGTCCAATCCAAAACCGGTCCATTGATACTCTTAAGTGTGATGACAAAATACTCCTGTTCCCCATAAGATATACAGTATAAAGGGGAAGCAAACCCCTCATTCATCCATTTCATACGCCAAAACTAGTTCCTTTACCTGGTGCCTCACACACACATCCTATCATACATTAGGAGCATCTCTCATACTTATTTGTTAATATTCATGAAAAATATTTTCAATACATGGTGGATGTACATGTGAGACGCCCATTTGTGAGGAGCAGATTCCGTCACCCGTGTAAGAGACCTTCTCCACTTTCTCCGGTTTGCCTACACAACTCTATTCCTCTCCTTTGACTAGGATCTGATATCTGATGTTAGGTGTTTTCTTTTTATTTATATTAAAATTAAAATTAAGAAGAGATCCCCTCTAATGTGATGTGGCACCCGGAGGGACGAAATTAAATAGGACGCAGTCGGTGGTGGTCTGGTGTTATCGCGATTTCTGTAGGTGCGTTGAAAGCTGCCTCTGTACGGCGGGTCCCATGCATTATGCTTATGCTCCTGAGATGGCGGGATGCGTGCGTTGCGGCGAGGAGGCATCTCTCGCCTATTCTCTATCTCTGTTAACTGATACCTAACCTCGCTAAAAAGTGACTGACTGGCCACTGGTCAGCGTTGTTAAAAGCGTGCAACTTGGGTGGATCTTGCTGCACGTTTATACAAAGCCAGTTCAACCCAATGTCCATCTCCACGTCGACCTTCTCCATTCATCACTTATTGCCATTTGGATTTGGAAATTAGAACAAATAAAAATCAACCATTATTTCTCGTTGTGTTCACTGTGGTTGAAAGGTTGAATGAAACCATTTTTCAAAAGAAAACAGAAAAGAAGTTGTTAAAAATAAATTGAAATCAGAATAGAAATCGCTATTTGTTGTGACTTGTCCAACGGAGCAGATAAGCATATAATGTGCAGTTGATGACCCCAATAAAGTATTTGTTGTGACTATTGCAACTTGCAACCATAAAAGGGGCTTTCTTGTAATTTAGAGTTTTTATTTGTTATAGAGAGCACTAGCAGGGTCTGTGAATTGCTCGTAGTAGGGCATATGGAAACTGTTCTCATCCTTGAGTGACAACGGATCCCAGCTTTGGCCCGGCCCAACACAAAATTTATCAACCCAGCCCAAGTAGCCATTGAGCCTATTGATTTGAGAGCCCTAATTATGATGCAGTTGTCTTGTCAGCGTAGCCCATCAAATGGCCACTCTGCTCGGTTCGCGTACAAGATCCAACGCCCCACCGATGGTGATGGTTTACCAACTGTCAATTCTAGTTGAGCGGTTGCAGAAGGATCTAGATCTAGAGTCTTGATGGCACGTTCCCTTGGCAGTGGCATCATAAGTCCGATCTGTCCATAATTTGTGGGCCACTGGTGAGTGGTGGTCACTGGTTGTGGTGGAGGGAATATATGATGTACGTATTGTCCCATAAAAGGAAAATGAAACGGCTGCAGTTCACGCTTTTCTCACTCTCAATGGCAGTAACTGTTTTTTTTCACATGCACTTCGCAACCCTAGGATCGGAATCGGACGAACGGCGAGCCACTCGACTTAACACCCCCCAGGTCGGATTGGCTTCCAACAGATTCTCCCGCGGCTCCATCGCTACTGTTATTGCTAATGTGCACCGTAATGCTCACAACATCAGCTTTAATTCTTACTCAAATTGACCCGCCTCTCTCTCTCTCTCTTTCGTTGTGACAGTTACTTTTCCTTCCTTCCCTTCCCTTCGGCCCTTTCCATCGTTATAAATAGTAGATTAGGAGTCCATTCCCAGCACGAGAGAGATAGAGACGAACACAGACAGAGAAGAAGCGAGTTGTAGTAATGGGGGCGATATCGAGAAGAGCACTTCTTCAATGGATGATTCTCTTGATGATAGTTTGCATTGGACGCGTTTCAGGGAAAATGCTTCGTGTTGGAGGATCATCACAAGGGTGGAATCCCGACGTCAACTACACTGAATGGGCTAGTAAACAATACTTCTACGTCGGCTTATGGCTCTGTAATTCTCTCTCTCTCTCTGAAACACATACAAGCAAATCTTTTTTTCCTATATTAACTGTCGTCTTCTTAAGTAAAACCCTAGTATTCCATATTTACTGTTACATTGATATGCTTCCTTCTGTATTAAAATGATTTGATCTTAAAAATAGAAATTCAGGTTCCCCGCATTTGTACGTATTCCTGGTATTACAATTAATGTGTCATTAACGTGTTCTCTATCATTGCCTCCTCGATTTCTTCTATCCAATTCTACGTACTATCTTCACGTATGGATGATTTTCCCTTCATTCCGCCCCATCAAGATTTCTTTCCCCTTTTTCTCGTCTACATTTTCACTATTTCTAGTAGATTATGAAGCTTCGCAGATCTTCTCCGCGAAGCTTTATACTTAGCATATATTAATTTCATCTCAACTCTCAAATGTTCTTCTTTCTGCTTCCATACCGGACTAATAAAATCCAATACTATTTTTTTTTCTTCTCTTCACGTTTTCCGTCATTTCTACAATAAAGCTAATCTGATGGCATCACAGATTCCTTTATTCAACTTTTCAACCGGTTTTTAGGGTTAGAGTTGTTATTGTTTGTGCTTTTTAACTGTTTTGCTTTTTTCTCTTGTTTTTTTTTGGGGTTCAGATTTTGGATATGATCGGTATTATTACAACGTGTTGGAGGTAAACGAGACGAGCTACGAAACATGCAATGACAGGGACCCAATCACAAACGTGACACGTGGAGCGGGAAGGGACGTATTTAATCTGACGGAAGCCAAAACCTATTACTTCCTCAGCAGCGGAGGATACTGCTGGCATGGCATGAAACTGGCTGTCCCCGTTCACCAATTCCCCTTACCTCCTCCCGTTGCCGCACCTTCTCCCAGTTCCTCCACCAAAAGCAGCTCCACCTCCTCTAGTCCTTCAATTATACTGCCAGCTGCCCTTGTTTTGGCTGTAACCTGGACTATAAACTCCCTCTTCAGTTTCCGGTAGCGATTTCTTCTCTATCCTTTTGGTTGAACATTTACTTCTTGTATTGGTACCAGGAAATTAAAAGACTGTTTTTGCTTGCTGTGTTGTAGTCGGTATTTCTTGCTAAGAGAGTAACAGCTACATTTGATTATCCCTTGCTTATTTTGGTTAGCTTTTTAAACAAACTATTGATTTGGAGAATCAACCAATGGCTCTTATAGTTATAGAGAGTACATCCATCCCTATTATTGATGTATTTATTTATTGGAAGAACAAGTACATTCCTACTAAAACCATACCCTCCAGTGAATTTTAAGGCAAACTCACCTGACTGGTTACCACTTTTACGATGCCGGTTGATTCCGCATCATATCAAACCAAAATGAAAAAATAAATAATATGTAGCAAATTTGAATCGATTGGACCATGATAGTAGAAAGATACGATACCAAAAAGACTTTAATCAATCAAGTGGTAATCAAGCAAGTGAGCAACTGGTATTTATTAAAATTCAAACGGGGAAGGGTTGATTTGTCAAAACGGGATAGGAATTGATACATATTTTATCCAATTATAAATGGATTGAATTGAGTTGGTACAGTTTGCAGTCCTAGATACATTAACAGAGGTTGAAACACCTAAAATCTAAACTCCATTGCATCCATATCCTTAAAAGTAAAAAAATAAGTAAATTTGTTCTCTTCTATAAAGTTCAATATTCACATATTTTATTTATTCAGTTTTGGTAATCATTTGGTTGAACTCAATAGCAAACAGGTATTGAACTCGTGGATCCATTGGATACAACCATTCTCAAGTCTGGTTTCATCCAGCCGGTTAAATTGAGCATTTGTTAAAATTTGAATGCCTACGAACCTAAACCCAAGTCAGTATGGTTGAAATTCTTGAACCTGGGCAACCCATCCAGATAATCAGATACCCATGGGCCACGGCCACAAGTCGAGCTATGAAACTGTGACATCAATGTCATTTTGTTAGGCAAAACTTCGACAACCCTACCATGTACCAGAAATCTGAGCCAGCTTCCATCCTCAGCTACTCAAATGTCTCAACCCTAACCATTCAAATGGGGGTTGTGAGCAAATTCTCTTTGGCCTAACTAGTATTCTTATCAAGTTAACTATCAAGGTGTAAAGTGATTAGACATGGATCAGTTTGTCTGGGTTGGGCTCTGTCTAGACCTTCCTGTTCAGTTCTAGAGGAAGAGGCGCTTGCATTCAGCCCTCACCCCTAACACATCCCTGGCCCAACTTGGAGATTAAAGGGCACTCACTCCCTCACTCACAAAAGTTAAGATTCTTAGAGGATCTGCCCCAACTTTCCCTTGGAAGCTGGTCTCTGACCCCTGAATGTAAAACAAAAAATCAGGAGACGGAGGTCCTTTTCCCATGTCCAACGTGAAGCCAACAATGCTGCCCTGCCCACACTCTTGCCAAGACCCAAGATGGCCATATCAGAAGTCTGTTTTCAATCCTCAAATTTATCCATTTGTATCAAATAAGTTGTGAAATCACCTTCGCATTTTACTATGAATTTTGATGTTGAATGAAGCAGCCTACGGGCTTTTTCCAAAAAAACCAATGAAAGTTTATCAAAATTTTGGGTGTGATTATGATGACAAGATCTCAGGTTTAAGAATCCGATCCATCCAAACCACTCTCAAATTTTTTATTGATCCGTGGTCAAAGATTTGGATGGTTCACTTCGGCCCATGACACTCTTATTAACATTATTTGGAATTAACGTGGGCCCATGCACACAATACATGCCCACATCACAATATATTTAAGCATTCTTATAAAGTTTTAAAAGATTTTTTTGTCGATAGACATTCACACTCACACCACGGTGCAGAACACTTGTACATGTGTGGTGTGATTTCAACCACATCAAAAATGGGCCCAATGGACCAGTCCATAGCATAAATTTTCTTGACAATACCAAACACCCCCTAAATTAGGGAATGATCTAAAGTTCTGAACCAATCATTTCTTAGGAGCCTGAATCTCCCGAAAGCAAAAATTCTGAACCGATAGCAAGCAATTTCTTGTCGACAATACCAATCACCCCCTTAAATCGGGAATGTTCTAAAGTTTTGAATGGATCATCTAATAGGGGCCCAAATCTCCCCAAAGCCAAAATTCTGTGCACATAGCATCCAGCCATATATTGAAAAATATCTCCATGTGTGTCAAAATCACGGAAAGATATTCCCAATGTGTGGTTAAGTTCCTATGCTTTCACAGTATATGCAGACTTTTTGCTTAAAAAATCTCATTCCATCCACTTTAAAGATTTTTTTTAGTAAAACACCTTAGAAATTGATAGGGCAAAATATCAGCTTAAATTCTTATCCCACATATAACACATAAGCAAATATTTGTGACCATAATATAAAACGTTTATTTAAAATCTTTAATAGTGATGCATGAATCGTGTAAACACATTAAACTATGTTTTGGGTGCCTGGTATGTGGCAACTGGTAAGTTACATGAGACGGATGGGCTCCCTACACAGCATCCCTCTCTCTCTCTCTCTCCTACCATATTTACAGGCTAATAAATTCTCCATTAGCATGTTCATTTTCCTATTGACTCTTTGGGATTGACATTCAAAGTTTCTTCCATACCTTAAGGCCATTTAATACATTAATTCTCTCCACTTCCTATACTTAGAATTAAAATTTTACCAAATTCATAACCCACTAAAATTTGTACGGCCCCACAATTTTTATGTTACAAAAATGACATGCCAGAAGATTCAAAACTAGGTTAGATGAAAGCCAGCAAACCTACCAGTACACGCCTACTTAGCTGTTATAGTTTCATCATTTCTAAGCTTTAAAGTCTTTACTTTTCTTCTAAGTGCATTCCTGTGATATTTTTTAATTAATTATTCATTAAAATCTACACTTATAAATATTAACAACTATAATATTGATTTCCTAAGAATTAAGATGTACATGTATATGCTTAGTTCATCAATCATTTTTCAATGTTTACCGATAGTTTATACTTCACATGATATATCAAATCATGTGTTTCTTATCTGCATATGGTTTATTTATGATCATTTGAGATTTAGATTTAGATTTAAATTTAGTGTTTCAGTGTATCTTACTAAAACCAAATTACTTAATAATGTTGAAAATTTTCAGCAAAAATATATATAGTTAAAATTTATATTGTGTTTGAATGTTGTCATTTACTGAATTGCCATAAGTTCAAGTTTAGTAATTTTCAATTCATTTTGTTAAAAAAATACAACATGAAAGTCATTTTAGTATATTTTATTTTGTTTCAAATCCAATATAAATCCGATGGATAAGATTCAATTCTTATTCAAATATAAATGAATCAAATTTCCATCTACCAACAATCTCTTTTTCTTTTCATTCTTTTGTTGTGGAGGGAGAATTCAATTGCTCCAGGAATTGCAAATGGTGTATGAAATATTAATTTGCAATAAAGGCTCAGTTTGGAAAGAGTACAAATGCATACAAAATAATACAAATTAATAGGTTTTGCACTCTACATATTTGTATTTGTACCCCTTCCAAACAAAGCCTACAAATATGTATAGTACAAATCTATACTACTTTAAAAAACACGAATAGCCTTAAGAATATTTCTGAAATTTTTTGAGGATAAAAATTACCCTTTTATATTTAAATTTATTGATAAAAATTAGGGTAATCAATTATTAATATTAAATGAGTTGAAAAGAGGTAAATTTAAGGTATTCAATGCATTCAATTCCCTCTCATTAAATACAACATTTAATATATTATCTTCCATTCACCTTCATTAAATCATATATTTAAGGCATTTTTGTTTCTTCTCATCATTAAATTCTATTAATTAAATCCACACATAATAAATTAATAATTCGAATACCATAAAACTTATACTTTTAAAAGTTACTTGAAAAAAATAGTGTTTTCATCTAGGTGGTGGTAAGAAATTAAACCATTTTGGATCAAATGGGCTAATCCATGTTGCCACAATTAAATAATAAAATTCAAAAATAGATAAAATGCAAATATATATATATATATATATATATATATATATATATATTAAAAAATTGAGAACATTTGTAACATTATATATTCAACATATTAAACAATAACAAGTATGATAAATAAGAGATGTTTTTATTAATGATGGAAATAGAATATAAAACTTAAAACCAATTGAAAATAAAATGATTTTCCTATTCTCTCTCATTAAATATCATATCTGAGGTATACTCTCTCATTAACTCATATATTTAAGATATATTTTTTTCATTATTAAATTCTATTAATTAAATCCATAATATTAATTTTAATAGTATAAAAATAAATATTTTGAAAATTAATTTGAAAACAAAACCATTTTCTTCCCTCTTGGCGGTCGGTAAGCAATTCAACCATTTGGGGTTAAATGGGTTAATAAATAATGTCAAATTAAATAATAAAAAATAAAAAAATAAATATATAATACAAAAAAAAGAATTAGACATCTCTCTAATATTGTATATTTACTATAGAAAACAAAAATAAGTATGAAATCTAAATGATGAAAATGAAATGTTAAACTTAAAATCAACCTTGAAATGAAATGCTACCATAGTCAAATAATAAAAATTTAAAAAATAAAAAATACAAAGAATCACACAAATAAAAAAATAGAGAAATTTTTGGACAAAAATCTAATGTTATATATTTATAAAAGATAAACTATTGGGTACATCTCTAATACTATACATTCATTATATTGAACATAAATCTTTAAAATGTAATAAAAAGTACAAGTAATAAAAGATATATAAAAAATTATATATTAATTATGTCAAACAAAAGTTAATTGTGATAAATAAAAATTATTTATATAATATAGATGAAATATATAATTTAAAACTAAATCAAAGCAAAAATATTTTTACTTATAACTGAAACCGAATAATAATAATAATAACAATAATTGTTATTATAATTTAAGATTTCCATGTGCAATGCACATGCACATTTACCATGGGCATTCAAATTTATTTTTAATGATATTATTACTTTTATTCATTTTTTATTTTTATCTTAACTATGATATATCTAAAATTCAAGTAATTAATATAAAGAAAATTTTCTCACATACAATGCATGTGTTTAATTATTAGTAGATACAAAATACCAAGTTTTGCACTCTACATATTTGTATTTGTACTCCTTCCAAATTGAGCCAAAGTGTTCCTCCGCTCCAATAGAGCCTAGCTAAATTACTAAATCCAAAAATTTTCAAAATCAAATTTTGTCGAAAATAGATATTTTATATATACAGATTATATAAATCAAGTATGGAATCTGATTTTAGAATCCAACTGCAACCCAAACGTCAAGCCTTGGAAGGTTCCTAATAGAAGCTTACCATTTACACCTCATTCGTTTGCCAAAAAGTTGTTTCTTTTGTCAAGAAATGTTAGTTGGATCAATGAAACAAGTTCTCAAAAGAGACCTAATTTTATGTATTGGCAAAGGCATTTTAGTTCCACAATAATTTTGGCCAATTTTCCTCCATGGGTACCTGGGTAAGTGATTTACCCACCTAGGAGAAGAGAAACTTACCCAAGACCAAAAATTTACCAAGGTTCCCTGAGTCCTACACCTCCCTGTAAAAGAATACAAGGAAATTGGTCAACTTCCACATTGACCAATTCCCCCCCCCCCCCTCCAACTTATTGGCAAACGAATTGGTCCTTAGTGAAAATCATCTGTCTAAAAGAGGGAGCTAAGAGTCCTCTCATGTCAATGCTCGAACAAACCTCCTCCTCTCTTTCTCACACATGTGGTTATTTAATTTTAAATTAAAAAATATAAATTACAATGAAACCCTCTCAAGTCTTAATTCTTTCTAAAAAAAACTACCATAACTATCTCCAATAAAACCATTATCAACTCTATCCCTCTCTATCTCTCCCAAATGGTCAATATTTGTAAGATCTCCCCTCATTTATTAAATCCTTCCATCTCTCCTTTTCAATCACATTCCCTCCAGTTTATAATAAAAGTGGGGGTATAACATTAGATGGGTTGGGTTGGATTAAGAGCCTGCTCAAGCCCAGCCTTAAGACATGGGCTTCAGATCTGAGTCTAGACTAAGGTTAGCCAAATTTGCCAACTAAAATCCCACCTAAATTAAACCCATCACAACCTGTGATGATTTGGGTGGGTTGTTCAAGTTCGAAAGCCTTCCCACCCATGTTTTTCAATTTTCACATTTTATCTTTTATTTTGGCTTTGTAGTTATATTGGATACCATTAAATAAAGTTAAGCTGTCTACAAGAAATGATGTTCTTTTTCTTTTTTCTTTGATTCTTTGTTTATTTTAATATAAATATTAGCCATATATCATGTACTTATTAAATGTCATAGTTACTTGAACTCCGCCCCATATAGTTGACGCAAGGCTTAGATGATGATGATATATTAGTTGAACACTATAAAGTATAAACAACTATTGAATGATATTTTATGACAAAAATATTCCATGGTCCTCAAATATTTCCTTATTAATTGACATTAATGCATATAAAATCTTTTTCCAGAGGTTCCTACCAATTTCTATTCAACCCCGTGCATTGCATGGATTCATTTGCTAGTTAACAGTGAAAGTATAAAACAAGTGAAAACAGAAAAAGAAGATTATGTTGAGAAATGAAGAGAAAGATGACTTCCATGTCAAATTTTATGATCAATTATGAAATCTGTCTGTTGAAGAGCCCTAATCAATAATTAAAACTAAAACTTCCAATTCATCTCAATAAAATTAGGGCACATATCCCTATCGAAGAAAGAAAGGGGGAGAACGAGATCAAGAGAATGATTGGTTCACTGATGGTTCAAGGAAAGTTAAAGGATGTTTCATATCCCCTCATAATGTCATCATATTATCACCACTACTTCGATGGTACATGGCACCTTCTACTGTACAGCAGGCTCAGACTCTTAAATTCCACTCCAGAACAAGAAGGCTGAGGTCATAACAGACTCTGGCTTGATCCTATAGAGATGTATCCATTTTAATGTTCCAGATATGCCTCATATAAGCTCCCTAACCCCACCCAATTACACATACCAGGTCAGCCAGCCTGCCATGTCCTTGGCTTTCTTGTTCAGGAGTTGGAAAGAAATCTATACAGCTCCAAGTGGGATCTTCCCAAAATAAAACCACCATTAGTACTAAGAGAATTGTCAAAGGAACATGGAGCTAATTGCATGTGAATCCTACTCCATAATACATTGATCTTCTATTAAAGCAAGTATTAAATCTGTTTTAAACGGGTTCAATCCATATCCTTTTTCCCTTCACATTGTCCTACCAGAGCCTTCAACTTGGACCAAGTGACTAACAAAATACACCTTTCATTTCATTCTCTTCAAACATATAGCAGTGAGACCTCATTGCCACATGCTATCTTATATTGAACATTCTACTCCATAAAACTCAGTTATATCACCACTCATACTACAAAGGCCAAAAGTAAAAAACAAGTTTCTTTTTTCTTAATTGTTGAAAGTAAAACAAGTTAAAAACCAATAATTTCTTCTTTTCTTGTTTTGGAAAGTTGAAATCAACAATATCATTAGTTCTCTTTTTTTTTCCTTTTCATTATGGCTTTTTGTATATATCTGATGCATAAGTGTATGCAAAAGCACATCATAACCCTCTACTCAGAATGTTTTTGTGCTCCAGTGGTAGTAGTAAAAGTAAATAAATAGAAAAAGAAATGAATGAAATCATCCTTTTGTCTTATTCACATAAGAAACTCAAAATAGGCATGCACCGTCAAAAACAAGTATAAATATACACACACATCCATCTTCTTACAGTGATTTTTTTAGGGAAATTGCAATATTTGAGGACAACATAATTTGATGAATGAGAACGAAGAACAACATTGCTTGCATTCTCCTCAAACTGACACTGGCAAAAGCATGAATTTGAGACAGCCAAATTATAAAAAACAAAAAGATAACAAAAAGAAAGGGGTGAGAGTAAGGAGGGAATCCTAAATAATAAGGTACAAGGTACAAAACACATGCTATGTTACCCAGATATGGCAAGGGCAGAGCTGGATACAAAATTTACTTTAAACACTTAACTATGTAACATGATATAGCACCCTTGTAAGCAACGAGGTATCATAATTCATAGCAGAGAGAGAGAGAGAGAGAGAATGAAAATGATATGAAATAAACCATGCAGCAGGATAGGAAATATGAATTGTATAAAGATATTAAAAAAGTGAGATCAGCTACTTTACATGGATGCAGGTAAATCCAAAAAAAAAAAAAAACACAACCTGGGACCTTTTGATACTTTAATGTCAATTATTTTGTATAAAATAACACCAGAATTGATTAAAAAAGTAAAGGATTTAATTGCAGAAACATAAATCCATGCAAACGACATAAAATAATTAAAACAATTTACAACTGAACTTTGTTGTTTATTAATGTTTATAACTGAGATTTATTATCTATCAAGTATTACAAATTAAAATTTCATCCAAAATTATAGCACTTGATTCTGATATTATATAGATGCATATTACAGACTTGACCAAGAGGAACCCCCTAGGGTGTACTGTTAGGAACTTGTCTACAGATGTCAATTCATTATTCATCCGGTGTTTGAAAGGGCCAATATATTCATACGTGAATGTGATATAGGAAACAAAGTGCTTGAACCATTTAATTGAGCTTATCCCTAGCAACTTCGTATGCAATGAAGAATTATGTATAACTAGACAAGAGATCCTAAAGAGCTAGGACTGATTTTCGAATGACAACTAGAGTTGAATTGTTGTCTACCCAATTTTGGCCAGGAGGAAGAGGGTCAAAGCCCCAGATTGACAAATAAGAAGATAATCACAGAAGCTGTTGCAGAAATAAGGATGCCAACTTCGAACCTAGGTTGAAGAAACTACAACCGAAAGAAGGGTGGAGGATATAATGGCACTAAAAATGATCAAAGGTGGACAGAGAAATCACGAGAGAAAGAGAAGTCCAAAGTCCAAATTGTGTGGAATATCATGAATATGAGCATGGGGGGGCATTGAGAAACTCAGACGGGAAATATTTCAGAAACTTCAAGGTCAGAAATAAAGAATCGAAGTGTTTCCTACATCCTACTCAACCAATAGTGCTAGTTGAATATGAGTTACTCTTGCGCCATTGGTTATTAACATCGTAAGGTGGAATTCTCCAGTACTGGCAAGCAGAAGTCCGACAATTCCTATAAACCCAATACCAGATTATTATGCACCGGCATCTCCTTTTGACCGCCTAAAAGGGGATTTTGTGCATGGAAAAGGAATAATACAAAATCGCCTAGTGATGACAGAAACACACAGTGGAAATTCATAAGCTACTGGACTGCTAGGTGGTACCGTGGTAGTGGTACTCTCTGAATATCTCATTTAGGAGTGCTGATGTTGTTAAGATGAACGCATATTGAAAAGAAAATATAAAAGTAGATCAATCCAAAAAGGAAAAGGAAATAGCCATCCAGAAAACCACAACTGCAACACAAAATTGAAAAACTGGGAAAACTAAAGCCCATATGGCAAATAAGACACCAAAAAACAAAACCCAGATATCAAACTGAAAGGAAAAACAAGAAGTAACATCCAAAAAAAGAAAAGGATACCTGGTTCAGGGGAAGTATGCTTTGACAGGAAATTTTCCGACCCTCTCCTCCTCCTTAGGTTCCAGGGTGTACTTCTGGCCAAAATGGGGATTCCCACTAATAAATTCATTGTCATAAAAATCACTTGGGGCCGGAATTGCAGAGAGAAATTTACAACCAAACGATTTAATTCCTGATATCGTAGCGGGTAACAATTGAGGCAATAAAATGGGGCAATGCAGAAGAGATTGAGACCTTATTGTTATGTCTTTAAGGAGAAGGCAAGCTCTCCATCTCCCCATTTTCGTTTTCTTCAACCATTTCACTAATTTTCCCTGTTCACCGTCGCCGAAGGTCTGGCGGGCAGATGGAGAGGACCAGAGGAGGAAGAAGAAATCCTCTTGAATATGTTTTCCACCCAAAAAAAAAAAAGAGGAAGAAGAATCCGGGAGAGATGGAGGGAAGGGGTGATTTAATATGGCCTCATTATGACTAAAGTGCCCTTCTTTTCACTTTAAAAATACTTAAATGCCCTTTGGCCCCAATTCACCGAGATCACATCAGCTCCCCCACAGGCGCGCCCCACATGCACAACTCAGCGTGCATTGAGATCATCTCCCGTACTTTTTCTAGAGAGATGCTCCCAATACACGGTCGGATGTGCTGTAGGGCGTCTGTGAGGCGCCGATGTGAACTAAAAATTCACCAAGTGGCTTCCCTCTTTGCTGGTACCGACTCCCGAGTCCCCGGAGTCCCAAGTTTCCAATATGCCTGAAGAAAAAAGGAAAGTAGATGAAATGCGTTGAGAGCCCTTAGATTTGAACGAGAGGAAGTGAGACAGGGTAAAAGCAGAAGAAAAAGGGCAGAGAGAGAGAGAGAGGCAGAAAGAGAAGTGATGGCGATTTCTGCAGATTTGAGGGTTTCTGCGACGTTGGCTTCTTCTTATCCTGCGCACCCCCTTCGACGTTCTTCTGCACCTACAAAGGTTAGTTCATTTTTCCCTTTTCGATTGTCAATGGAAAATCTTAACTTTTGTCTAATGGTTTACATGCAGCCTATCAATATTTCATCCGTAGAGCTCCTCATTATTATTCTTTTACTGATAATAAGTAATTATGTGTTAGGATTCCTTTTTGGAGTAGCTCAAGTATGAATTTCTGCTTGTTGGAGTTCTTGTTCTACCCAAAACCTCTGCCACTGCAAAAAGAACCTGTGCATACAAATGGAATTATTTTTTATAAGTACATACAAAAATAAAAATGGAATTTTCCTTTATGGGGCTTCATTAATGATATCATGCAAGTAACTGTTGAATCTTGCCATACTTTACATAAATTGAATGCATAAGAGATTCCTTTGAGGAAACGCCTATTCCCTTGTAGGTTTTGTTTAAAGCGTTTATGTAAAACTCTGTTTATGGAATTTGGTTTTCTAGCTACCATGGTTCTCATATCATCTTAAAATAGGGGGCATATGGAGAAGTGACTTTTTTTTTTCTTTTTGGGTAGTATTCATACATTTCTGCCGAGCAAATGTTTGTTTGCATTGAGATTTATTTCTCTGGTACCTGGTATTTCCTTATAAAATTGATGAATAAGCATTTCGTCATTATAGGAAGTGATTGTCCAGAAAAATATAAATCCTACTTTCATTGTGCTTCTTGCAATTGATTTACATGCTTTCAAGTCGTTACTCTTAGATCATTAAGTTGCAAAGTTAAAAACGAGGCATCTTTAAGATGAATATACTGCTAATTCCACCCTATAATTATAAATAAAATAAAGTAGAAGAATTTCCCCACAAAATTTAATTTTTCTTGTATCCTTGATTAAGGTCACATGTTCTCTTTTCGGTTGCATTCTAGCTGGAAAGTCAAACAGGTATCATTTTTTTATCGGCATCAAGCAGGTATCATTGTCCAGTAAGCTAAACTAAACTCTAGAAATCGTGATATAGAAACATGGTTATATAGGTGTAAAAATACATCAATACTTTAAAAGGTATACCAAGGCTAGGAATTAAATATAAACCCGGAGAACCAAAGTTTGGTGCCTCACTATAATGTGTCCCTCTCGCGATAACTTGTCTAGGAGTGGAATCTGTTTTATTATGTTAGCTTAAAGCATTATCAACATGTTACAAGAAATACCATGTCAATGTTAAGTGCCTAGAGTCAGCACCGATGGAACAATTATTTTTGAGGTTTCTTGGTGACATTACTTATATTTGATTCTTTTTTCCACTTTGTATATATTTGTGTGAATGTTGGCCCATTGAAAATCTCCACCTTTCTCAAATGATTGATTTCATATTATGCCAAATTTGTCCACAACCCCCATTTGTAGCAATATGTCTTTTTAAGAGTTGGAGTTCTGCAGCTCATGTTTTAACTTCTATATATTTACTGTGTTTTTACAGACAAATGCCAATGAAACTTCATATTAAATAATAATATTCAGGAATCTGGCAAAATAGTGTGAATTGTCTCTTTTCATTTATTATGTTTGGCTTTGTTGGGCTTTGTTCTTTTGAGACAAATGGTTTAGGTTTTGCATATGTCACCCTGTAAAATTAAGATTTGAGTGGTTGATAGCCCCTTTCTTGTATATGATCCAATTTGTTGTTAAGGTATCAACAACCATATAAAACAAGTTGCTAACTTGCTAACCATTGAGATCAGTGTTTTCAACCTGTCGTTGATCCAGCCAGTTGAACCGTTCAAACCACCACCAGCCTTGATTTCGGGTCTGGTTCTGCTGAAACCCACCATTTGGTCAAAAAAATGTTGACCTGGTAAAAAAAGTTCAACCTGGGCGGTTCGATTGTTGACCCGGTCACTGGGTCGTGGGTTGCACATTCAATGTATGTGCAAACTTCCAAAGGTGATAACTTTGCACTCTGATGTCCAATTGGGGTGATCTTTGTTTATTTTGGGTAACTTTTTGAGATCTATGTATCCCAAGGCACCAAAGGCACCTTGCCCCACTATTTTTGCCAAAAAAAAAACTTTTTGGGCCTCAAAAATAATTATTTATACATATATTGCATGTTTATACACACACACACACATTGATTGAGATAGAAGCCGACCACCAAAAAATATAAATAGCAATCTGCAATCCTCATCATTATCTAACCCTTGGTCCATCTATATGGGGTCAGCTACATGAATCCTCTTCCTCTATTCTATTCTGTTAAATACCAAAAAAAAGTATAAATGGCAATATTTCTGCAAAAGATGTTCCAAACAGCCATGATAACCAAATGACTCTCTATATACCAGTTGATAAGAATACCATTTCAGTGGCTAATTGATAAGAATACCATTTCAGTGGCTAATCTCCATACTTAATCTTTCAAACTACTAAAACATTGAAAATGCTGTTATTGCTTCCACTTCACACTGCCAATAGGTTCATTAACATTTGGCTATATTGATTTTCCAATCAAGATAACAGTTTAAAAAGGGTATTAACATGATATTTTCTTAGTGTAGAGTGTTTGAGGTAGTTTTTTGTACATTGGCATTTTGGCATAGAGGATCTTGTGGACAAGGTATCTTCAAGACTCGAGGAAGAAAAAAAGAGACAATGAATGATGCTTGTGATACCTTTGTCCCTTCTCCTTTTCTTTTTTGTCTTTTTTTTTATCTCTTTTCATTTACTCTTTCCTGCAAGTTTGGTATTTGAGTGGATGTCAGGGAACTTGTCCAAAGAATAATATAGTGTTTTAGATGGAAAGTAGGATCAGTTGGTGGCAGATATGCTTACAGGCTCTCAAAAAATTGTGTGCATGTTTTATTTATGGATTTCTTCTGTTATCTCATTTTAAATCTGGAAGGGATGTTTGTCTTGTATTACAGAATATTCATGGTATGAAATTATGCCTATCACCTATGCTACTTGTGTTGATACATACTGTTTTAAGTAATACTGTAATACTAAATGTAGATAATGCAGTTTATATATGATATCTTGATATCTTGCATCACATCATTATACCCTTGCTTCTCTGTGCCTTATGGCTATCATGTTCTCAGTCTGGCAATTAGCCCATCTGCATTATTTGAAGCAATTCCTCCTGTGACTAATGAGGGAGTTTGTGAGGCTGAAAGGTCCTAAACCTTTCAGATTTGAGAGCATGTGGATGAATCATCCAAATTTTTTGGAATTCATAGAGCAGAAATGGTATCTTTATCAGGTGGAAGGTTCGGCAGGTTTCAATCTAATGAAGAAGTTAAAATTTTTAGAGGATTTAAAGAAATGGAGCTCTCAAGTTTTCAGGAATGTTGAGAAAAGAAAAAAGGAGGTCCTAGACAGAATGGCTAGGCTGGATAGATTGGAGGAGGAAGATAATCTATTTCAGGCAGGGAGGATGGAGAGGGAGAGAAAGCAGAATTAGAAAAATTAAGGGGCTATTTGGCAAGTCTTTTTTGAAATATCTTCTGGAAGCTTTGACAGTCAAAAGACAATGTGAGCTTTTGTATCAAGATCTCAGCAGCGTGAAGACCATTTGGTTAAGGCGCGTCTGTCCGCGCGAGAACAAGTTGAAAAAAGGCGAAAAGCTCCATTTGGAGCTTCCCGAAAATAGCTCGAAATGGGCTTCCTGCATCTTTTCGGGGCTGTGGCTTTTATCGGCTAGATCTTTTCCCAACCAAACGGGAAAAGACCAAAATGTGGGCTGCCGAGCTTCTAAAAAGCCGACAGCCCATGCGAAAAGATGCGCCAAACGGGGCCTTAATTCTTTATGAGGAAATTTCGTGGAAGTAGAAAGCAAGGGTTAAGTGGCTTAGAGAAGGGTATAGAGATAAAAATACTTCTTTTCCAAGCTATGGTGAAGGGGAGAAGAAAAAGGAATACAATTATGAAATTGGAAGGGGAAGATAGACTTGTTGATGATCAACAGGAGATTGCTGAAGAAATAAGGGGCTTCTATGAGAAGCTGTATAAAGCCTTGCCAAATAGAAAATGCCACTTAGGGGGCTTGGAGTTTGGGCAGTTGGAAGAGCGGGTTAGGGAGTGGTTGGAGAGAGAGTTTGAGGAGGGAGAGGTTTGGTATGCAATTAAGAAGATGAATGGAAATAAAGCTCTAGGGCCGGATGGTAGGGGCTTCTATGAGAAGCTGTTTAAAGCATTGCCAAATAGAAAATGTCACTTAGGGGGCTTGGAGTTTGGGCAGTTGGAAGAGGGGATTAGGGAGTGGTTGGAGAGAGAGTTTGAGGAGGGAGAGGTTTGGTATGCAATCAAGAAGATGAATGGAGGTAAAGCTCCGGGGCCGAATGGTTTCAACATTAGCTTCTACAAAATGTGTTGGGCCATCATTAAGAAAGACTTAATGTTAATGTTTAGGGAGTTTTTGGGGGAGAGAAAGCTAGAAAAATCAGCAAATGCAACATTTATCTCACTCACCAAAATTAGTTGGAGCTGTTCGAGTTAAAGATTTCAGACCTATCAGCCTGCTCTGTAGCCCATATAAAATTCTAGCAAAGGTGCTGGCTGGGAGGTTAAAGTTGGTGCTACATACTGTGGTGGGGCCCACCCAATTGGCGTTTGTGCAAGGAAGACAAATCTTGGATGGGGTTCTGATTGCTAGTGAGTGTGCTGATTCAGATTAGAAATGGGCATGTAGGGTAATTTGTAAGATTGACCTTGAGAAGGCTTGTGATCATGTGGAGTGGGGCTTCTTGGAAGAAGTGTTGAGGATGGGCTTCGAGGAAAGTTGGAGAAGCTGGATCTTTGCTTGCATTTTGTCAGTGTCCTTTTCTGCTATTGTAAATGGAGTGTCAACAGAATTTTTCAGCTCTTCAAGGGGATTAAGGCAAGGGGACCCTCTCTCACCGTTACTTTTTGTTTTTGTGGTGGAGGTGTTAAGTAAATTGATTATTAAAGGGTGTGAAGAAGGCTTAATTTGTGGGTTCAAGATTGGGAAGGAGGGTTAAACCATATCACATCTGTTTGTGATATGGTTTTGGGTGCGTCACTGGAGTAGGTTTAGTTTCTTAGGAGCATACTTAATTGTTTTAAAATGTTGCATGGCCTCAAGATTAACCTTGGTAAGAGTACTATGGTTGGAGTGGGAGACATCCAAAATTCTGTTCTTGAAGAGTGTGCAGGAGCCTTGGGCTGTCTGGTTGGTAACTTCCCTTTCTCTTATTTGGGGCTCCCAATTGGGGCTAGGGCTTCTGCTGCTTCTACCTGGCAACCTGTGCTAGACAGAATAGACCAAAGGTTGGCCGGTTGGAAAGGAAATTTTCTGTCTTTTGCTGGGAAACTTACATTGATAAAAAGTGTCCTTTCTAACCTGTCGATCTATTACCTATCTTTATTAGATTAGAGCTCCCAAGGCAGTGTTGGGGGAGATAGAATCCAAATGGAGTTTTTGTGGAGTGTGAGGGGTGAAAGAAAGAAAGTACATTTAGTTAAGTGGGAAGTGGTGTGCAAGCCTAAAAAAGAAGGGGGTCTTGGGGTGCGAAGGGTGGGGATCTTTAACAAAGCATTGTTGGGAAAGTGGGTGTGGAGATTCGGAAGAGAGAGGGAGGCTTTATGGAGGAGAGTAGTGGCTGGAAAATATGGGATGGTGAACTTTGGGTGTGATTCAAAGGAAGTAAAATACTGTTATGGGGTTTGTGTGTGGAAAGGGATAATGAGTTTCAATTCTTTGATGGTTTCTCACTATTCCTGGAGGGTGGGGAATGGATCCAGCATTAGATTCTGGGAGGATGATTGGTCTGGGTTAGGGAAGCTCTGTGAAATCTGTCCAAGGCTGTACAGATTAGGTCTGGAAAGGTGTATCTATTTCAAATTGTTATGAAGTCTCAAATGGTTTTGTGGTGTGGACACCAAATTTCAGAAGACCTTTACTCGACTGGGAGATGGAGGAATGTGTGGAGCTGCTGTCCAAATTGCAGGCTTTGGAAATCAATCCGTCAGGAGATGATATTAGGTGGTGGAAGGAATGCAAGGATGGAAAATTTACAATCAAGTCAATGTACTCAGTTCTGATCAGAAGCATGTTCCCCTAAGGGTGGAAGCCTTTGTATGGTTGTTAGCCAAGGGGTGTATTCTGACTCAGGACAACATAAAGGGTCAAGGATTTCAATTCCCAAGCAGATGTGCCCTATGCTTAGCTGGAGAAGAAAACATCATGCATTTGTTCTACAGGTGCAGCTTCATTTCCCCAATTTGGTTCTATTTTTTCAAGCTGTTTAAGGTGGACCGGTGGTCAATCTGAGATCAGGCTGAAACCTTTGGACTTTGGCCAAGAGTTCAGGGTGGCTCTAAGGTCAAGCTGGTGTGGAGCTGCATTCAATTCGTGGTGTGCTGGGAAGTTTGGAAGGAAAGAAATAGAAAAGTCTTTGAGAATAAGAAGAAAAGTTGGGAAGAGGTGGTGGCTCTGATCAGTTCATCAGTCATAGGTTGGGTGTTAATTCTGCCAGATTTTCAGGGATTAAAGAAAGATTTTGGGGCAGACTTCTGGAGCTCTTTGTATGCTTAATTTTCTGTTTTGCTTTTAAGCCTGTTTGTTTTTGTTTCTTCTGGTTGTTTCTGGGGGTGACCTCTTGTCACCCTACGAGCTGTAAAACTCTTTTTAGTAATAATTTTTTTTCTTTATTTATATTAAAAAAAAACTAATGAGGCCTTATTTTTTGCATGAGGCCATCATATGGAGACTAGTTTTCTTTGTAAAATAGAGTTATGATATGATCATACAGTTGGTACCTTTTTATTTCACATCCTTGTTCATTGAATAGCTTCTATGGCACCTCATATATTGAAATTGTTTTTGTATCAGAGATTATTTTCATCTTTTGTATTAGAGATAGTTTGGTCAATCTAATGATTTTATACTTTTTTATCTCATTGCATCAAGAAGGTAGCATTCAGTGGTTTCCTTAGTGGAGGATCAAGTATTTCTGAAATTACACCCAAGTGGCCCCCCATTGCCCTTGAATGCCATAATGTGCAGTGCTATTGCCACCGTAGTTTTGGGATCACAGCTGACAATAATCTCTCTTCAAAAACCTTGAACCAAGAAGTAGAGGGCTTCCTCCTAAATGCAATAAACATGAGCTTCTTTGAACGGTTAAACTTGGCTTGGAAGATACTCTTCCCCCCACTAATTACGAGGAGGAGATCTAATGCGAAGATTGCCAAGCAACGCCTGAAGATGATCCTCTTCTCTGATAGATGTGCTGTTAGTGATGAGGCAAAGCAGAAGATTGTGAAGAACATTGTGAGCGTTTTGTCTGATTTTGTGGAGATAGATTCACAGGATAAAGTCCAGCTTAGTGTCTCAACAGATCCAGATCTTGGGACTGTGTACTCTGTCACGGTGCCAGTCCGACGGGTGAAATCTCAATATCAGGATGTAGATGAGTTTGGAACAATAACAGGCGTTGAGTACAAAGATACTGGTGAAAGGTCTGGTTCTGTTGATGTCACATTCGATTTCTTTATTCCAAGTGACATAACTCAGTAACTTCGGGTGTTTTAAATTATTCCTGCTCAGTATTCCTTTTATTTATTTATTCCTTCCTTGGAGTGAGGGGAATGAGAGAGAGAGAGAGAGAGAGAAGTGGGGATGTTGGATCATATCTAGGCTAAGATTGCAAGATGTTCTTTGTAGCAAAAGTCCACTTTAGATTCTTGGATCTTAGAACCTTAAGAAGCCCCTAAAGTCTTGTATATATTGGAAATTTTCCTTAATTAACAGTGCTTCCTTTGAACTCCAAACTTAATTGAACAATATAGCAGCATACTAGCATCATGACTTTAATGGTACCAATTGCCATCTAAATTGACATGGCATAAGCATTGAAAGTGTTTAATCAAGTCTTTTGTTTAGATAAAGATGTGATTTTTTTTTTCGGCTTTACCCAATTTCCCTCGGTATTTGTAAACAGTTGACTGGCCTACCTTGTCACACTCTCTACCTAGATGCATCATTTTCTCGAGTTCTCGACTCATCTATCGTTCTGTTAATAACGTTATATTTGGTTAAAATTCTACACTATTTCAAGGATGAGCTTCGAGATGGCGCACACACACAAAGACCTCCACACGAGAGAGAGAGAGAGAGTAAAGAGTAAATAATGGTAAAAGCTGCATTTTATGAAAATTGCTGTAAGATAACAGGAACAAAACCCATGGTGCATTTTATGGAAATTGCTGGAGCATAACTCAAACATGAACATAGTGAGAGCGGCATGTTGACATCTTTAATGTAACGTGAGGTATAACTGTTATTGATTATCGAGTCTTGAAGATTCGGGAAAAAAAAAAAAACTTGAAATGAAATTACTTCTTGAGCTTTTCCTCTTGTTCTTTTCCACCAGTGGGAGACACCGGGAGATTTTTTTTGTTAAGCTATTCTGCAACCTCTAGAGTATAGTACATCAACAAGAAAACTGTACCTTTTGGATATAACTTATTTTAAGGGCTCATCTCCTTTTTGCAATTAAAAACTTAGTGTTCATAAGGTATTTTAATCACAACAAAAAAAAGAGATAAGTCCTTAAAATAAGGAATGTCAAATGCAGCCTTAGTTTGGTGGCTTCTTTAGATTGGCTTTAGTCAATCTATCTCAATCAACGTTGATGCCCTTTCAAACAAACCCTAAAAGTGGGTGAAGCAGATTTTCAAACTTCAAGGTAATTGATGAAGGGTGATTTGGCACGACCTATTAAGAAGGGGACATGTAGATGCGATCTGCTCGAGGGGTGACAATTCAGCCAAACGAACCTAGTTCGCAACATTCGAAGCTCGGGTATTCAGCCACCTCAACCCAAAAACCACCTCGGCGTAGAGACACTTCGACACCCAATCCAATTCAAGACTAAAGAACCAAAGTGCCAATTCGGAGATAAAGAGCCGAAACACCATGTAATCGACTCCAAAGGCCTCCCCAACAGACCCCGAATTTTTCAGGATCACGACGGAACTCATCCTAGCTCCGCTTGAATCAGAGTTAGACGATAAACCTTATCAACACATTGCTCTCCTTCAAAAACGGAACAAATCTTACCCGCACAGCCCGAAGATCCCAGAGCTCTTTCATAAGGCCTACAACTATTCCATTATATAAGGACATGAAACCCCAAGGCAAAGGTACGCGTGATTATTTACTCACTAGCATTCAAGCATTCAAGTATTCAGCTCGCATCCACAGTATAGTACTGACTTAAGCATCGGAGCGACATCGCCAGGTTAGCCACCCCGGGTTCTCTGATCTACTATTTTGCAGCTAGGTCCAACTCGCCGCGCAACTAGAGCTCGAATCATCTTCCAGCTAGGAGTATCTAGATCACACACCATCAATTGGCTCCGTCTGTGGGAATTTCGATCAAAAGGTCGTCCCAATCTTAGTTGCAGTTTTATTTTTCGATTTATCCCAATGGATTCTTCCAACAACACTGAAAAAAGCATCGAGATGAACGTCGTCGGGGGGCAAGATCAGCAATTAACCTTCCCCCAAGGTCCTACAGTATGCATTGGTCAGTTTACTATTCCTCTTACAGCTTCAGGAGCCCCATCACTGTCCGTACCGCAGGGCACTTCCCAAGTGAACATCCTACTTCCCCTAGTGGGTGCAACTTTCTTCGAGCCATCTGTGGTCCCTCCTAGAATCGGGCACTCCCAATTCCATGACCTCGTTCAGTGCGTCCAGACAATACAAATCCAAATGCAGCAGGTCCAACAGTTCCAACAATATCAGCAGTACTATCTGTATCAGCAGTATCAGCAGCAGTTTCCACCACTACAGTCGAACCAGCAGCCAATTCCACCCCGGCACCCAATGTTGTGTTAGGACCAGAACCCGAATCGGCCTGGAACTAGCCAGAACGTCAATCGATCCCCCCATCGGGGTAAGGGGACCTCGTAGGTGTCGATTCCTCCCAGGGATCAGGTTTCACCCCGTGGGAGGAGAGACGATCAACACACTCCTCCAGTCTCGCAAGCAAATTTTAGAAACAGGCCCGGGGATAGTCAGCTCAATAGGGCCAATCTGGCTCGACACTCCCAGCAGGAAAATAACGGCTTGCGAGGAGATAACAACCAGCCCGAAGTTTGAGGTGTGAACTCGAGGCAGGACCCCTCAGTCCTTCGTGATAGCCGATGCGAACCCCACAACCAAGAAACCTTGACAAGAAGGAACTAGGATCCACTTCGCGATAATGTCCGTAGTGATGCTAAAA